TTGCAGTAAATTTCCAGCCCAACAATATAATTTACTAAACAGTTATTTCCATTTTAGTTTTCAGATCACAATAACAGAGTGAGGATATAACATCAAAATAACCAATTTATAGCAAATTGGACAAAAAGATGAAACAATCATAAAAAACACTAATTATCCTCGGTGGTATACAGGACACCTAGTTAATCATGTATATATCAGATAATTGCTAATCCATTTTTTTTCTTCAGCAATGGTACTTTGACTTCAGCTAAGGATCTTTGATCCTGAATAACAATAAAAAAAAAAAAGAAGTCAGTAGCTCTTGGAGAAGAAATTTGGATGGAAAATGTCATTGCAGCTTTGAGCCGCTAGAAGGCAGCACACTGCCACATTTCTCTAAATTATGGGTGAACCTGCTCTGGACGGCTCAGTGAAAACGAGAACCAGCATGCTGATTATATGAATAATTCAGGATCATCCAGGGCTTCATGTTTTATACACGAAGCTGTGCTTAATTGAGATGTTCATTGCATCGTAAGGCATGTTAAATAAGAAGCTCAGATGTTGCCCTTTGGATGTTCAGATTTGACTTCATTTGGGGTAATATGCCAGTTTCACAACATATTGGTGAAGAAGAAGATTATCAGAATCAGAAGATTAGTGTTCCTGTACTGGTGCAGCGAGATGAAATCTGTTCCTATATGATATGTGCCAAGGACAAAATATATTAGTTTGTTCTTTCTTTACACTTTACACTTTAAAAAACAACAACATAAAGACATAATACTCAACCCCTCCCAAAATCTGAAGGCCAAATGTTTCCCTTTTCGGCATGCCATTTCAAAAATTGTTTGCAAACAGAAACTATTATTGTTGTTATTATTTACTTGTGTGTGCATGTAGATTGAATGTATGGGAACCGAACTCCAAAATGTTCTTAGAGTGGTGGTATGCTTGCCTGGATAGCAAGATCTCTTCTGAGGGGGCTGTTTTAAAGTTTGATATCCACTACTTTAGGGAGTT